GGGGGGGCGGTGCGGGGGGCAAGTTCCCTCAGCCTGGCCTGCACACTCTCACAGTCCGGAACCCCTTGGGGGGATGTCTGCCTGCTGTGGGGAGCGGGCCTAAGCTGGCAGTCAGACATTCCTGAGGGGTCCTTAGCACTGCTGCAGAGGTGGGAGAGGCTCCCGCCACCACCACTGTGCTCACCAGCCATGAGCCCAGCTTCTGGCTGAGCGGCACTCCCCCTGTGTGAGTGCACTGACCACCAGGGGGCAGCTCCTGCATTGAGCATCTGCCCCTTGGTCGTCAGTTCGTGTCATAGAGCCCGGTCTTTCTAATGTTGGGTCAATTTGCATATTAAGGTTTTCTCATATAGGAGATATATATATATATATATATATATATATATATATATATATATATATATATATATATCTATTATAGGTTCTATAGGTTACTGTTTAGAGTATTGTCCACAATCACTTATCAGAGAATTAAGTAGTTTTTTTCAAACCTAAGGATAAAGAAACACTTTAGTCCTCCTAAGAAATCTCTAGGTTTTAAATGGAAGACAAATTCTAAGCTGTTTTAGCGACTATTTAATAACATAGTGCCTAGATATGTGTACATTTATTTTCTTGCTAGTGTTATGTTTATTTTTGATTAAACACTTTAATATATATTTCCATTGTACCCAATCTTTTAAGTTAGTTTACCTTTGTAGAACAAAGATGAAAGGAAGTATAAATAGCTAATTGATGACAAAATCAATGAATAAAAAACCCCAATGAACATAGCAACTCAACTTAAAGCTATAGCAATAATGACACCTTCCCTACATTTCATTGTCTTCAGACCTACCCTTGGCAAGGTATTGTATCCTGGTCGGGGATCCTTGATTCCTCAAGTTGCTGATAAGCTGGCCCCGCAATCCCGCCCAGCCTACTTCGGGGTGAGGGGGGTGTCCTCCTGAAGGCGTTCCGGTGGAGCACACCACTCCTCTGTCCTGGACTGCAGCAGGAGGAGAGACTCCGGCTGCGGGAGAGAAAGCCAGCACATCGGTCATAGTCATAACCTTACAGGTGGCTGCTCAAACCCTTTAAACACTGCACTTGCACCCGAGAGCCGCAAAGTCCCCGTCCAGACTCCGCCCATGACTGGAGTGTATCTGCCAGGAGGGATCAGAAGTTGCCAAATCCATTTACCCTTGCGAACACTGAGACCAAGAGAAGTTCTTGTGTTTCTGGCTTTCTAATATGGAGCACAATGGGCTAAAATTGCTGCTTTCCAGCCAAATTAAGAGGTGGGTTTAAGGAATTCTGAAGCTCCTGATTCCCACCCACCCTCAGTATTCAAGCTACAGTGGCTGTCTCTCTAATAACAGTAAGTGTGGCTTTCTTATTAGACACTGACAAGGACCAAACACAGGAAGCCCTGAAGGGATCTATGGGGAAAATTTCACTTGTGCTAGCGGTAGAATAAACAAACTTTATTATGATCGGCATTCTCTCCTTAACATATGTGCTAAATTCACAGTTCATTATCTCAAAATTCCATCAGTCTTGAGAAACTAAATCATTTTCCTTTTTTAGTTTGCCTTTACTAAACATCTCATTCTGACTCATACGTCCAAATGCCAAAATAACTGTGTTTTTAGGTGCCCCTAAAGGGCAACAGGTATAAATGAAATGTACTTTCGGCGAGATCCCTATACAGATCATGTTAAACAAAAGAATAAGATTCTTTCTAAAAATCAGTTGCTAATGTGACACACTACCTGTTGCATATCCATCCGCATCTCTACCCCACTGAACTTCACATACTCCATGGGGAGCAGTGCAGAGAACTGACTCCTGTGTACACATTCCTAAGATGATAGTTTGTGATTAAGTCACATAAAACTATACAGAAAAAATTAAAAATATTTTCAAAATTTCAATAAACCTATCAGGTTTTAAACAGACCAGTCCCCCAAAGGAGTTTACCCATATCACTTTATTATTTGAAGTTCTGTATGTTTTCCTGCATGAATATTGCTGTTATCTCTACTGAACAAAACAACTTCTCAAATATTATTTAAGGCCAGAGTTTGAGAACCAAGATGACTGATCAAACTTCATATTCTCAACCCAACATGGACTTCCTGAGTTAGTACAAACACCAGATTATGCCTGGCAACATTATTACAACTAATTCTTTCTCGTAATATTTCTCGTATGTCGAGTCCCAAGATGCCTAATATCAAGGGGCCCCACTAAGGCAACAAGGCTACGAAGCTCTGTAGCAGCTCATGCCTTTCCCTCCCTCCAGCTTCTCTCTGCACCATCCAGCAGCAGTTATGGAGTCTGAAGGGTGCTCAGGCTTGCGTGCTAGGGTTATCTGGATCTGGGTGTGCATCTCCGGTCTGTACATCATTAGCAGCATGGCACTGGGGGAAGTACTGGTATCAGTTAGAGTCTTGGAGGAAAATAGATGGCACTCTAAACTGGGTCATTTGGGGGAAAGTTTGCCATTTACAAAGGTGTGTTCAGTATTTGAAAAAAAAAGGACAACAGAGGATACTGCTGTATGTCAAGGCTAGTGACAACAGGAAGCTGTTACTATCCCTATGACCTAAGGGACAAGGAGAGGGAGCTGTTAGCAGAATGGAGAGACAAGGCGATTCTAAGGAGAGGGCCACTTGTCAGGCACGTTGGCCCCAGGAAAAGGGCCAGAGCTGAGGCACCCTACAGGGAGGGAGGGGTGGAAGTACTGGAACCTCTCTCTCTCCCTGGCCCTCCCATCACATGCAGGTGCCGCCCATTGAGCTGACAGAAGCTAGAGGACAAGGGAGCCTGCTGCCCTTCTAGTGCACAGAGCAATGCTGGCAGAGAGAGGTGAAGACTAGACATGTGTGGAGAAAGGCACTGGCATCATGCTTAAGTCTTTCCATAAGAGTGTTACGGGGGTTAAAAGCAATAAAGTATGTGAAGTGTTTGGCACGTAACAGGTGCTCAGTACAATGAGCTCCCCTGGCACGTCTCACACAAATCATTGAAAACTCAGACTTCTTTCACCCTTTAAAAATACTTAGATGTGTGCTATCTATAAGTGACTGACATTGCCAAATACAATGCAATAAGTAAGACATGACATACTAGGATTCTTTTTTAAAAAGAAATATTTTCGACTAAAAAGAAATAATGCTTTGAATTAATAGCTTTGTTTCATAAATGAGCTATCCAAATATGTCATATTTGCAGTGCATGGCAATAAATTAATTATTCATAACTAGCCAAACTGCTTGGCAGCAAAGTCTACCGTATGAACTAGTGGCCCATCTTAAAAAGCAGTTCCATGACTACTGATCAGCCAGCTAGTCTAGCCTGCTAACGCAGTAGCGTTCGGGAAGTCATGGAGCAGTTGGCAGGCTACATAAATCAGTGACCAGGCTGCCAGTCATGACATTTAAGTCTCCTGCATGTTTTACAAAACAAAGCTCTGAGATATTAAACTGTAACTTCAAAGTTTTAGAGGCACTTTATGGATCAGTCCTTGCCTATCTACCATGACACAATGCATGCCAACAACACTGCAATGTCACTGAACCAAACAGAAAGGAAGGTCTCCGACAGGCATCCTTAGTTCCTAGAAACCACAGCGGGAGCCACATTTAGGAGGGAGGATGTCAACAGAGAAGAGGAAGAGTAGGGTATTTGCAGCGCAAATACAATAGAAGCTGTAATTCTTTTTTATCTCAACTTTAAAACATCAATGGCATAACGTAGTGCTGGAATAATATTATACTTAATTAGTTTACTTAACTGGGTGCAATGCCACTTTAACATGTATTATAATCAGCAGGGGAAAATGCTGTTTTGTAGAAAATATTCATCTTCTAAGAGGCTGGTAATTTTGGACTTATTTCCCTAATTAAAGAACTTCTATTAGCTCCAGGGAACTGAAATGGTTTTCTTTTTAGAGGGAAATATCTACAAATTCCTTAATTGATATAAATCAAAATATGTAGTTAATAACTAAAGCAATTATCCAATAGCTAAACATAGTTAAATCCTGAGCTAAAAATATTTAAATCACCTTTTGAAAAACAGCAAACTTTTAGTATCTCAGTCTCTACTCGTACAGAGTGTCAGAAAACCTCATAGCAATGTGTCAGCATCAATGAAATCCTTTTTGGACCCATTGAGAAGCAAGGAAGAAGACCGTTTCCTTGTACAATGTGTGCTTCTGTCCAGGTGGTTTGCAAAGCACTGCCTGGATGTGTAAAAACCAGTATTTACATTTCATTGATGGGGACAACTGTGGCTTTTCATATTTTCTTTTTACAAATTTTTATCTCTTCATAATGTTTTTTTTAATTTTAAATACTATACTTCTTACTAAGAAAAGAAAGCTCAAATCTTGGGACAACTTCTACAAGGATTGAGAATATGCATTTAAATGACATAAACATAATGTCTGCTTCAGCACTAGTCCCAAACTTTGGCACTTGTTTGAGAGCAAAAATTTTCAGTTTTTAGAGTTCCAGATTCCTCATGTATAAAACACAGTATGTGACTAGAAGATGACTAAGAAGTGTTCAGCCTCAGAATTCCATAAAATTTGTAAGATAACGTTATTTTTGGCTTTCTCCCCCAAAGAGCCAATTGCTACGGTCAGCTTGTAGAGGAAGGCCACCCCATTGATCATAGATCTTACAGATCCAAGCAGATTTGCCAGGATTCTTCCCCCATGAAAGTTTCTTTGTTTGAGAGTCATGGTGAAAGACCGGGAGCATGTCCCATCAGTTTCCCAGAGAAGAATTAGTCATTAAATCTGCAGAGAGTGATAAGGCAGGCTAAAAAAAATCATGCTTTTAAAGTTATTTTCAGAATGCAATTATTTCATTCACTGGTCTGTATCTGCAGCTTTGATGGGTGTTGTTAACAGCTCCTTTCGGCTTTGTAGAGGGCACTGCAGCCTGCTGGGGTCTTTGGTTACCCGCTGTGAGCTGCTTGAGCATCCACTCCATGGAGAACCACATGAGAAGCAAGAACAATCATCTCTCCTAAACAGTGTTGCCATTTCTGGGCATGTGTTGTCCAGAGTCACACATGGTGCGAATGTGCCCATTCCACCATGACCAACTACCTGTACCTGTGGTGTTTGACAGATTGGCTTCCTCTGTCAGAAGGGACCTCTGGGAATGACTGGGGGCCAGCAAAGCTTGACTCCATCATTTTCTCCAGTGCCGTCACAGGACGCCTCTCCGCCTTTGAGTACTGTGGGGAATCACAGGCACAAGGTTGAGCAGGAGGATTAGCGGAGGGCCTGCAACACTACAGATAGCAATTGACAAGGTATGGAACTTCCAGTAACATCCCTCTGGCCGCCCGGTCAGGAGCATGGTAGAGGCATCATTCGCAGCCCATGTATGCTCTCCCACCCCTGCCCCAACCCTCTGTGACTAGGTGAGGTCCATTCAAGAGGGTTCTTCATTTTAGAATCCTGAGTCTGTATTTTCATTTAAATCCACATCCATGGCACAGCCAAAATAAGCACAAGCATGTTTTATTGAATGCAAATTGTATTAAAATATTAATTAGTAGCTGACTACTAATATTAGGATTCAATAAATGCTGATTGAATGAAACTCAGAACACTCTCAAAATTATGGAGGACATTGATTCAGTGTCTCTGTCCACCACTCCACACTGTTTTCCTCTTTCATTTTGTTACCAGATAGTATTTACTGTGCCTAAAAAGAGAAATTTGTGAGCATTTCACTCTTTATAGTTATTAACTCTTGGTTTTACCTTTGACTATGATACCTCATAAGCACAAGAGTCTAAAGAAGACCTACAGAGATGATATATTAAGAACAATTTTGCCTCAAGGTAAGTATCACATGGCATCTCACCCTGGCAGGTGCCCAGTCATCTTTCTCTGGATCTTGGCCCTTGAACAGGCAGTAGGGATGGCAGGTTTCTCTTCTAGAAACTTCAGATAAAAACTCTCCTGAGAAATGACCTTTGTAGAATGCTAACCAAACTACAGAGATTTTGGAATTTAGATATTCATGTACAATGTATGAACAAGAATTTCACAGAAAAATATGGGTATATAGCATGCAAGTGAGAAGGTATACAACGATACACATTGTGAATAAATGAAAATCAGAATAAAGAAAAATAAATTTTAAGAATATATAGTAAAGACAAAGATTTGAGAAAAGTAGAGATGGTGCTAATCTGTTGGGATAAATATTGACAATACTAGAGGCCTGATGCACAGAAATTGTGCAAGAGTAGGCCTTCCTTCCCCCGGCTGCCTGTACCAGCTTCCCTCCAACACCCGGGATTGGGCTTTGTTTTGGCCGCCAGCAGGCACCCGGGACCCGGGCTTTGCCCCAGCCACCAGCAGGCACCTGGGACCAGGGCTTCCCTCCGGCCCACGGTTGGTCTGGAAGGACATCTGGTCTAATTAACATATTACCCTTTTATTATTATAGATGTTCCAAAATGTTACATATACATACTCTTTGATCAAGAATATTATTTCTAGGAATTGCCATCATAAATATAATTATAAACATTTAATATGATATAATCACAGAGTATGTCAGCAACACAATTTTAAATAAAAAAAAAACAGAAAACAAACACACAAGAAACAACTGGAAACAATAAAAATATCCACAAACAAATACTATGTTGCCATTCAAAAGAATAACATCAAGGTACAAAAAATATGCCTATATGAATTATTTGGTTATATAAGGAAAATGCAGAAAACATTATATATATTTATATATACATAAATTTAGCTTTGTGTGTACGTGTATATGTAGAATATATATGTACATATACATATATTTTGTGTCTGTTTCCTCTGCAATTACGCAGAATGCAGGTTTTTAAAAAGTAAAATAAACTATTAAATATACTATTAACTAGTTGTTATCCTTGAGGAAACGTGTAGCAGTGGGTATGGGTTAGGAAGAGTAGGGAAAAACGTTTTCTTTTAAAGTACTTCCGAGAGTGGCAGTAATGACCATGGCTTTCATCCGAATCTGCATCCTACAAAATGGGTTTACAGAAGCGGGTCAGACTTCTCCAAAAATGGAATAAATTAACAGGGAACAAAAAGAAGATACGGAGATAATTAGGAAGAGGCGATGGTCTCCAACAATCCAAAAGTACAAGCATCCAAAAACCCATGAGAATGCCTGTATGTGTGCTTCCAATTGAAGTTGTTTATTGCAAACCATCCATGGAGAAAGTGAACTGAATGGACATGTTACTGAAATGTAACTGACATCCTGAATTTCCATCTGATGTTCAGGTTCTATAGAAGACCTACTAGGTGTTTGTTTTTGTTCTTGTTTTCTTTCACATCTAACAACTAGATTTAGAAGACAAACTAGGGTGCCTGGCAGGGAGGAGGCGAGCCCCTGCTCTGCTCCTACAGAGGGCGCTCAAGAGCAACATCAGCCAAGTGTTTCTGGAGCATCCAGGTTTTCTAGAGGAAATCACCGAATCATTAATGTCAGCAGCCCATTTATTTTTTAAAAAGAATAATATATCAAAATGCCTAATTTAGCTTTTGGCCCATTAGTTCAGAGCTTCTGTCTGAATGAGACTATTGATCCTGAGAGCTTGAGGGTCTTTTACAAAATCCTGGATAAATGTTTTGAATAGAATCAACCTATCACTCATTCTGATTATTCATAGGGTTTACACTAGATATTCTGTTCCAAATATTTCTTTCAAAAGCTGAGATTGTTGTTATATTATACAGTTGCTTTCAATTGGACTCTTTTGATCCATTAATACAAATTTGTTTTCATAATTTGTTATTTTAAATCTTCTTCCTTTTTCTCACAGCCTTTATAAGAATCATTTACATTTTAGTGGCTGCGTTTAACCTGAGATCCATTAATTGCTTGTCTTCTTATCCAGAGTTAGCTGAAATGTGGGAACACTAAAAAGAACCCTCGTGATTTGGCAAACCTTCAAACTGATATTCCATACATGTGGGTTCAAATGAATTTAAAGGTAGCTTCCAGTTTTCAGTTCTGACAAATAAAGAGCTTGGAAATGGTCATTCCTGTCTTTACAATAAAAAAAAGGCTGAACAAATAGAAAATCAATGACTATTCTTATATCCATCAGATAGTTCAGGTTGCAGGGAAAACCGCCACTCTAAAATCTTGACAGGTGAGTGCATACAGAGGGTAATAGTCAAGATCAGCTCACCTGTAGCAGGATCTGCCAGAGACATAAATTGGCTGGAATACACAAGTGGTCATTTTTATAAGCTGTTGGAATCTGTGAGTAGGCTCAAGAGAAAGTAAAAATCGCCTGAAGGCTGCAATCTGAGGTAAGGTTCCAATACAGACCCACAACAGATTCCCACACAAAGAACAATTTTTAGAAAGTCATCTCATGTCTCTGACAAGGGAAGAGGGAAAATAACCACCTGGAAATGCATGCAGAATGTTCTCCATTACCACTGCCTACTTTTCAGTGAAAAATGACTTTACCAGAGTCTTATCTCACCTGAGAGAAGAGTGTTTCCCTGACTCCACCCCCTGTAGCCTTCCTATCTCACATAAGGGGTAAAAAGTGAAGAAAATCTTATGAAGGTCTTAGCCCAGGAATATACTGACTAAAAGAGTGAAATATAATCATAAAGTCAGAGATGATCTCCTTCCACCACTCCTTAACACCACATAAACAGGGCTCCACTGTAACAACAGGGGCTGACAGCTGGGAAGTTGTAAGAAGGAGTTCTTAGGGAAATCTAAAGCCACGCAAATATATAGAAGGAAAATACTATAAGGTGTTAAAGCCCTTGGCATCTGCAGTGACAGCAAATACTAAACAAAACCCAACCACAAACCAGATTAACATAGAACCATACACTAAAGGTCTATTTGCCTCACTGTCTATTACCTATCATGTCTACCTTTTAACCAAACTTTTATAAGGTATGCCAAAAGACAAGAAAACTGAAGTCCGAAGAGACAAAATAATCACCAGAACCTGACACAGATAGCACAGATATGTTGGAGTGATCAGGTAGTTAATTTAAAAGGAGCATGGTAAATACTTTCAGGGTTCTAAAGGGAAAAGTAAACAGCATGCAAGAAAAGATGGGTATTTTAAGTAGAGAGAAAAATCACTGAGAAAGATGTAAAAGTAAATACTAGAAATAAAAAACACTGTAACAAAATGATGAATGCCCCTGATAGACTCATCCCTAGAGTGGACACAATCAAAAAAAGAAGCAGTGATCTTGTGTTTAAGTCAATAGAACTTTCCTGAAATGAAACACAAAGCAAAAACTAAAGGCATAAATACAAGAAAAAAAAAAGGAGAACAGCAGAAGATAATATTCAAGAACTGTGGACAATTTCAAAAGGTATAACATATACACAATTGGAATACCTGAAGGAGAAGTAAAAGCAAATGGATCATGAAAAATGTTTGAATAACGACCTATACCTTTCCAAAATTATTAACAGATACCAAACCACAGATATAGAAAGCTCACACAACACCATGAAAGATAAACATAAAAATATTTATACCACAAAATATCATATTAAATTTGTATTTAATTAAATAAATAATAGATGGATGATAGATAGATAGATAGATAAAGTAATTAAATAAATAAAATGCTGGGGAGGGGGTAAGCCATAAAAGAAAAAGATTAAAAAATACAGTGGACTTCTAATAAATCATAGAAACAAGAAGAGAGAAAGAGTGAAATAAAATGTTAAAAGAACAAAAGACACCAACATAAAAATATCTCTAGTGAAACTATTCTTTAAAAATAAAGGAGAAATAAAGACTTTATAAAAGAAAAGCTGAAGAAATTCATCAACAGCAGACCTGTCCTACAAAAAATTTTAAGAGAAGTTCCTTGGGAGGAAACAAAATTGTGTATAGGTCAGAAGCTCAGATCTTTATAAAGAAATAAAATGTTAGAGAAGCAATAAATAAAGGTAAATTAAAATATTTTTCTTATAGTAATAGATCAAATAAAGATATTTATTCAAATTAATAGTACATACACAAATTAAATAATTGACAGCAATGTTATAAAGAACGGGAAAGTGGAATTAGGAAACTGTTATAAAATGCCTATACTATCAATGAAATGGTAAAGTGTTACTAAAAGTGGACTTAGATTAGTTATAAATGTATATTGCAAACTCTTGGGCAAATACTAAAAAAATTCTAAAAAGAAGTATTATTGACATGCTAAAAGA